TCGAATCGTCAAGTACCTCAGACGAATCGGCAGCACCCATTTGAATAGGGCATCACCAATTTGTACCCTTATGTGATGAGGGAACCGTGACAAAATATCACCTCTGTCGCTTTTCAGCCTTTCGTTTAGCATAGCATAACATTTATTCAAGAAGTACTTTAAAATGAACAAAGTATATGTCGAGGAAAAGGTTGTTGTTATTCATCGTAGTAGATGCAATAATAAAGTGTATTATCGTTTGTCTCACGATGTAGTCACTTGAGATGTAAATCGCGACGATCATAAACGAGGAGGGATATCCGTTAGAAACAAGTCGCGGTACAGATGACAGATGTTTCTTCTCTCCAGCGATTACTGATGGTTTGTAATCGCTGGAGAGAAGAAACATCTGTCATCTGTACTTGTTTCTAACGGATATCCCTCCTCGTTTGTGATCGTCGCGATCTACATCTCAAGTGACTACATCGTGAGACAAACGATAATACACTTTATTATAACAAAGTATATCTTGAAAAGGAAAACAGGGGATGGACGGTATAAACTGTTTCCCTAAAAAGAGAATGTTTTAATAAAAATAGAGGGTCAAATAGCAAAACTATATCTCCAAAATGTAACTCTACAATACACTCAACTTCGTTAGAAAATGGTTACAAAACTAAAACATTTTAAGAAAGCGCTTGAGTCCATTCTTGCACTCTTTCGAATTTTCTACCTCGGCCAGGGATCTTGGTAAACTGTCCCACTCACGCACAATGCGAATAGCGAAAGAGTACTTAAATGGGGCACATTACTGTAAAACAAAAAAAATTAGTCGTGTGCATTCTAAGTGGAAAGCAGGGCTCTGACTAATGATTTTTGAGAGGCTAATATAGAGGCCTTCGAGCCTTGACACTGAGTGTATTGTATAACGGAAAGATTTGGATCGCAATTTATTTTATGATAAACATGTATTACACCGGGATCAGCTGCGCGAAACACCTCAATCTCTGGATGATCTACAAACTTCTCAAAAAGATCCACGTCTTCCAATCCCCAGCCTCTAATGCTTGTGTCAAAGCCTCCAACAGCATCCATATCTTGATGATAAATGCATGCGGGTCCGTACGAGAATGACCTCCAAATTCCTGCATCTTTATTAATCGTGAAGTGCGAGTCGGGCTTGGTTTTCTTGCCGTATGTTAGTTCAGGGTCAAACTGAGAAAACATTATTGGAAAGTAAACTCGCTTACCAAGCGCTGTGTTCAGTCGACAGCGATCAATAAATTCCAAGTTAAAGATCAAGTCAACATCACACAAGAACAACAAGGCTGTTTGATCAAATTTAGTTGCTGCGACAGAAAGTGCTATCCCGCGAGAAAAGGTACCCGCAACGTCAAGCCAAATAAGTTCTGCTTCGGGATATTTCTCTTGGTATTCCTTCATGATAACTTTGTGTTCATGAGGAGAAGACACAGAAGAAGAATATGCGACTACCAGCTTGACTCTCTGAAGTACTTTGAGACAGACCAATTCAAAATTTTTCATGAAACGACGGAACGTTTCCAGACGCCCTTCTAAGGGGACGATGAAGTGTACATAAGGGGGCATCCTTGCAAGGGGCTCAGTAGTATATCTCAAATTTGCAAACGGCTGTTGGGTATAGAAGCTTCTCTTGAGTGAAATGTGCTGAGTAGTTTCCATTTGACCAATTGTTTTGCTGCGATGTTTCTTTGTACTACTGACTGTCACCTGTACGACGTGTTGTATGCCATACAAGGGGTGGAAACGCCTATAACCATAATTTATTTGCTGGTACTTCAACGTTCCAAGATGTGGATTCTTCCAGAACTCTTCCTTTACAAATTCCTTTGCTTTCTCCAGAATATTGTTGACTTCAATTTTCAGTTCGCCACGGATCTTGGTATATGGCGCTTTTAAGCTGACCTCAGGGTAAAATGATGTGGAAGTAAACATTTCCCATTTTTCACTGCTATTTGTAGCCAACTGATGATGAAGATCTCTTTCATCTTGAAGGCCACGTTTCTCGTGAAGGGACAATTTGTTTGCTTGTAGCAAACGATCCATGTTCCGTAAAACATGTTGGAGCTTTACTCCTTGCTGTTGAAGATCTTGAATGCGTTCGTTGTTAAAGTGCACGTGCATACGATACATGTAGGCAGGATCTTTAATAGGGTGAAGCGTAATGGCATCATTAATAGTCTTAGTGTTCAGCCCGCCCAAAAATAATTTCCCGCTCGCATCGTAGTCGTGAAGGAAAAGTTTACGCATCTGAAAGAAAGAAGAAATCAAAATCAGTCTAATCATTAATCACGATATTTCATATTTATGGTAACCTAAATTTATGCGGTGTTTTAAGCTAAAGTTATCATAACGCATTTTTTTTTTTTTTTACATTGTAAATCTTCAAGATCATGAAGGGGTCGGTGGTTGTCGCGACCAGGATCGTGTTCGGTTCGTACGGCGTTCAGACCATGACGAACGCTCGGCCAAATCTTTAATAAACCGAAAGATAGGCCACAGGACCATCAAAGACCAAAAATTGTTTACAAAGTTAAATGTAACGACTGCCCGTTTACATACGTGGGTAAATTAAGCGCTCATGGAGTTCACGCGGAGCCGAACATGATCCTGGCCGCGCCTGCGTGCAACGGAGAATCAGCGATAAAACAACACACGCATAGAACTGATCATGACATCCACCCAAGAGACGCCACGATCTTCGAAAGAGGAATAACAAGCTATACCAAGAGACACTTTTTAGAGTCGTGGCACTCAACGATGGACGCAAACGCGGTGAATTAATGAAAGAAAAGTCTTTCCGCGCGCTTATACTCCTGTTCCAGTTTTAACTCTGCGCACGTGTTCCAGCACGTAAACACATCCATTTTCACTCTGATGAAGGTAGACAGATGCCACCGAAAATTCAGTGAACAAAAAACTTGCAGATCGGATATATTTAAGTCAAGAGGCATATAATTAGTTTACTATATCAGTTTTGCCCTATCCACTTTGGGGTGGTGTCCTGGTGTACCGGTGTACCGGTACACAGAGGGAATAACCATTGTGCTCCTTTCTTTACGAACCTTTGTTTAGCTCTTGAACATTGTTGGGTCTTTTGTATCGGTTCTTGTGAACCGGTATACGAGGACAGAACCCCACAAGGATTCGTCGATTCGTCGTAGTCTTTTCGTTGTCGAATTTTCTCGACTGTTTCTTGTTCTTTTTTGCCTCGTGTCCACGTGTCCAAAGTCAAGTGGACACGAGGTTATGCTGTGAGTTTGGGTACATTATTGTGTAAGACATTCTTGTGTAACCATTCTTTGCGTTCCTAACGAAAGGTTCCTGTGAAGGGCGGTAGATGGATAGGTAGACAGATATGGTTCAGGAAACTTGCGGGATAATCAATTTTGGCTACAAAAGACAGGTATAACCCGACGATGAATTGACAGCGTTGGTGCTATTGATTTTGGAAATGCGAGTTTCAACCACTCCCACGCTTTACAGATTCAAGACAGGCTGTTTTTAGCACTTTATTTTGTTAGTGTCCGAGCTGAGCCCTCTGTTCATGCAACTCGCTTGAATGGGGAGGAAGCATTTAGTTACAGTCATTGAACTAATCATTCAAAAGGTGTTGCAATCTCCTTCAACCCCAAACTGTATGTACATATAGAAAGCTCTGAAGCTGGCAAAAGCGGAAGATATTTACTACTAGAAGCTTCCATATTTGAGTCTGCATTTTTGTTTTGTAACATTTACAGCCCAAAATGACAACAACAGTCGAAATATATTCTTCTCAAAGTTCAGTGACAGTCTTAGGAAGCACGCTGATATGCAAATTGTTATAGGAGGTGATTCATCAACTGTGCTCCAGCACCTTTGGAAAAAAAACTGGCGGAACTTCAACTGACAGAAAAGATAGTAATTAACAAAATCAAATATTTGTGCACGAATTTCGACCTCCGAGGTGTGTGGAGATTACAGCACCCCAAACACACATGGTGCAATAACTCGTTTAAAGTGCAATGCAGGTTAGATGAGTGATGAAAAGTTCGTACAGGATCTTTCGAGTAAGATACACGAGTTCAAAACAAAGCACGATTATTTAGATGACAAAGGCCTCTACTGGTAAATGATTAAAATGGAGGCGAGAGGTTTCTGTGTTCAATATACAAAACGAAAAAACAGGGAACGCCGGAATACCGAGTCGCACCTCCAACAACAAATTGATCATTTGATGAACCTGCTAAGAACTGACAGAAAAAAAAGAAAACATATCAAAACTTTACCGTCTCAGAGCAGAATATAATGCGATTGCTGAATACGGAGCAAAAGGTGCTACAATAAAAAGCAGGATACGTTGGCACGAAAATGGCGAAAAAAAACACTAAACATTTTTTGATTATGGAAAAAAGACAACATTGTAAATCACACATTTCAAAGCTTAAAACAAACGACGATATGAAGATCAACGATCCTAAAACAATCTTAGAACAAGGAAAAATGTTCGATAAAAACCTGTAATGACTCGAATTATAAACTATTCCTTGAAAATTCAAATATTGCTAAACTCGAAGCAACTCAACAAGAGGAACTTGAGCGTCCGCTTCTCAACGAAGAGTGCTTTCTCGTATTAAAACAGTGGTCCGAAAATAAACCCCAGGGACAGATGGACTTTCTGTAGAATTCTATTTACTGTTCTGGTCTCTACTGGGAGAAGAAATGGTACAAAGTCTCAACTACGCATATAAACACGGACAACTGAACATAACGCAAAAACAGGGTATTATCAAAGTGATACCAAAAACGAGGAAAGANTTTAAGCAACTAGTGGAACAGCACTACAAGGAGCCAGTTTAAGGATTGTACAAAAGAAGTGCTACCTGGAGTGGAGACGGAAAGCAGTAGTGATGAAGAGGACCAGAACATTACCACAGAATAGTTCAAAATGATTGTTATAAACGTGTGTAATAGTAATAAAGTCGCTTTTTTAAGTATTGACGTAATGTGAGTCACCTAATTTTCGCATCATGTTAATTTCGCGACATATAATTTTCGCGTCACTTAAATTTCGCGATTTTCTTTAAATCGCGAAATTCGCGAAATTAACGTGTCGCGAAAATTTCATGTAATAAGGTATATGGAAATTAAACAACTCTCTTTGCGATCGTCTGCGATCGTCTGCGATCATATGGAAAACAGGGCTTGTTTTGTTAACAATACTGAATTCATGTCGTTAAGTGGAGAAATAAAAAATACAAATACAATTCGGTCACGGGGACATTATGAAGACAGAGAAGGAAATTCTGAAAGGGGAGAGGAGCAGGAAGGAAGGAAGGAAGGAAGGAAGGAAGGAAGGAGTACTGCACCCTTAACTTCTGATGATTAGCAGCTTACCTCATAGGCCCAAGTGCAGGAAATTCCAACATAGCGTTGTATACACCGACCAAGCTCGGTGTCTTCATGCATGTGTGATTTTGGCGCTTGTAGAAGGCAGTGCTCCACATGCGGAGCAACTTTTCTCAAAACACTTCGACTGAATACCGCACCCGGCCCTCCCATACAATAGTTATCTCCAGGCAACAGGTTCAGCATTCCTTTTTCGTTCTTTGCACCTGTTCCCGCTTGCCCCAGGTAGATATCGTCGGAACTGTTTAATGAACGTAATAAACGTACTAACTTGTCATTGCGGACATAAACATCGTCGTCCGCCCGCATGAACCATTCGTAGTCGTCGATGTGGTGGTCGTGCATGTATTTGACCATCATTAAAGACTTCTTCAGCGGTGGATACGAGTCATCCACATCGAGTAGACTGATCATTGGTAGCTTGGACTTTTTATGAGTCTGACTTGAAAAAAATGTTAGTTTTCCAGCAACATTCCTTCCCCATGTGTCAAACACTGCTTGAGCTCGAGTTTGCAGAAATGTCTCAGCTGTCATAACACCAACAAAGATGAATTGACTGCTATTAAACTGCACTTCGTTTGTCATTGTCCTTGGTCGGAAATCCTTTCTATAGATTAAATGGCATTGATTCTGCTTCAGAAACAACGCAACATGGAGACCAACAATCAAGCCGACCAGCAGCAACAGACACTCACGAAGAGTTCGAAGTTCCATCTGAAGAAAAAGTCAATCGCCTAGCTAATCATGAAATGAAATGAATGTTGTCTTGACCAACTGACAGATAACCTGTTCTGATCTCTTTCAAGGAGCCCCAAACAAACCGTGTAAAAGTGAATATAGACGAGTCAAACGACAAACAAGGTGTGTTGAAGACTTGTGATTTTGAATATTGCCGGCGGCGATATTGCGTATGTGACTATTTGACAATATACTTTGGATGGTTGGATGATTTTTTAAAATTTGGGGGTCTTTTACGTCGAGATTTTCTCTCTTTTTTTCTTATGTATTGCATTAAATACTCTATTCTAAGAGATAACTTTTATAGAAAAATAGAACACATCGTTTCGACTTTAAAATAATTATCCACGTTACAAGCCACTGGCGAACTTATGACTTCTACAAATCATTATGTTAATATTCAATTAGTAAAATTCATTTAATCTTGCTTTGATTTACGCAATATTCTTCTTTCAAATCAATCAAACTTGATCGCTTTAACTTGATCGCTTTATCATAGCCTTATTATATGTTCACGATAATCATTACCGTTTTAGTTTTAGTTTACAGAATCTTTTGCAACACTTAATGTATTTATGGTCGTGCAAATAAAGCTACTTGTTCACGGTTGTTGTCGTCTGTAAAGCGGGGAAGATGATGAACGTTTACTAGCCTGGGTGCTGGAAAAAAACAATATTACAATCTTCTTTTCTTTCTAGGACATTATTTTCTTCTCTAGCATGAAAACCTAATAGTAACTGAGAGTGGAATTCGTGAACAGGCTTTCCGCGTGAAGGAGCATCTGAAGTACCTGAATATCAATTACTGAAGAACGAGGCAGACACAACAACAACCGCACAGTGGCTGGATGCCGGGATACCGCTTAGTAACGTTTACACCGCAGAATATCTTCATATCCATCTAATTTTTATTACAAAATACAAAGCATTTGATGTACATAATGACCCTGATGACTCAAAATAAGGCGAGCACAAATATATAGTATAAAGAAAGATATCAATGAATCAATCAATCTTTATTTAAACACGAAAATCTTATCATAAAAATGGTCTTCCTAGGAACACGTGTAACAAATTACAAAGAATAAATTAACTATATTAACAGGAATGGATTTACTAACATTACATTACATTAACTAACGAACTAATTAACTAGCCTACAGTAAAAACCTATGTAATAAAACTTTCTCTAATTTACAGTGCACTAAAAATAATCTTTCCCATTCAGTCAGGTTTTAAACAGTTTTAAACTAGATAGGTGTCTGATTTCCGATGGAATCTTGTTCCACAGAACAGATCCTCTATAGTGCAGGCTTCCTTTTGCATATTCCGTTCTTGGATTGGGGACAAAGCAATTTATCTCAGAGTTTCTAAGATTGTGTTCGTGTACATTTGAGGTGTTGGTAAAAATACGCCTCAGGTACGATGGGGAAAGATTATTATGGATTTTATACATAGCTAAGCTTTATTTAACCACGGTAAATACTGCGTCAGCTTAAACTACCCAATACATAATACCTAATGCCTAATTCCTAATATAATGAAAATATTTAAAGAAAGAGCTGCTTTCCAGGAATTCCGTGCCTTATTGTTCTCCTTTGAGTAGGCGTTTAAATTGCCTCAGGGAAGAGTGGCGCCACTATAGCTAAAGCTATTATTTTAATAGCTTGCGCGTGGTAATGGAACATTGAGTTTATTCTCAGAGTCCCTTAGATTACATGCGGTTTTGCTTATTCGATGGTTTAATAATTATGTATTATAAATACTCGCGGATATATGTGAGTGTGAGTGAGTGAGTGAATGAGAACTTTATTAAAGTGTCAAAAACCTTATAGCCTGGAAATAATACACCATACTAATTAGGGGACACTGCTAAAAAACTATACTAATACTAATATTAATACAATAAAAAATAAATGACTTGAAGGGCATTATGTCCAGCATAGGATGCAGCCCTTACAGACGGTGTTCATTAAGCGAGTTATATCCCTTTCTATGTTACGAGTTACACAGAATACGAGCAAAATGACCGCGCGTTTTATACATTAAACCATGTAATAACGGATTTATTATTTCACTGTTATGCTATTTTCTAGTATTTCGGATTCTAGTTTACATCATCCGAAATTCGTACCGATCGCATAAGGCGCGTGCGAACGAAGACAACAAAATACGACTCTACACTACAATAAGGGCCCTCACTCATATGACCCGTACAAAGGTTGACCCGCCCGTACAGCCCCGCGCGGTTTTTCCATGGGAAACCATACGAGAAAAGGTCCCATATGAGGACTGTACGCGTCGACTGAAGTGATAGGGCCGGAAAAACTCGTACGACCCTACTAGAAAAGCGTACGGCCTCGCAAAATCGTTGCAAAGCAATTTTTTTTCCTCAAAATGAGTGATGTAAATGACCTATCCTGGCGAACGAAAATTCAACACTACTCGCAAATTTATGAAGAAGTCCACACACTGAGTTCACAACTTTATTAGAAGCCAACAACAAAATGGTCATATGATAAAATGACTGACTTCTACAACTTATGACTTCTACGAATCATTGTGTTAATATTCAATTAGCAAACTTCTTTTCTTCCTTTCATTTACGCAACATTCTTCTTTCAATCTTGATCCCTTTAACTTGATCGCTTTGTTATAACCTTATTATATATTCACGATAATCATTACTGTTTTAGTTTTAGTTTACAAAAGCTTTTGCGACACTTTATGTATTTATGGTCTTGCTTTGATTTACGCGATATTCTTCTTTCAAATCAATCAAACTTGATCGCTTTATCATAACCTTATTACACGTTCACGATAATCATTACTGTTTAGTTATAGTTTGCAAAAGCTGTTGCAATACTTTATGTATTTATGGTCATGCAAATAAAGCTACTTGTTCACGGTTGTTGTCGTCTGTAAGCGGTCAAGATGATGGACGTTTACTAGCCTGGGTGCTGGAAAAAAACAATATTACAATCTTCTTTTCTTTCTAGGACATTATTTTCTTCTCTAGCATGAAAACCTAATAGTAACTGAGAGTGGAATTCGTGAACAGGCTTTCCGCATGAAGGAACATCTGAAGTACCTGAATATCAATTAAGAACACTTTAACCACACTACCGCAAGGCAGACACAACAACACGCACACAGTGGCTGGATGCCGGGATACCGCTTAGTAACGTTTACACCGCAGAATATCTTCATATCTATCTAATTTTTACAACAAAATACAAAGCATTTGATATACATAATGACCCTGATGATTCAAAATAAGGCGAGCACAAACATATAATGTATAGGAAGATAGCTAATCTCTATTTAACCGCGGTAAATAGTGATAAATAGTAATTGTGCAACTGACTGCGTCATCTGAAAATACCTACTGCATATATAATACCTAATACATGCCTAATACCTAATATAATGAAAATGTTTAAATAAAGAGCTCCTTTCCAAGAATGCCGTGCCGTGCCCTATTGTTCTCCTTTGAGTAGGCGTTATATTGCCTCAAAGAAGCTGAGTAAGTGGCTCTCGGTCAGGACGCACGGACCTCCCTGCACTCAGTCCATACGTGCTGACCTTGAGCCAGTCATCCCACTCCCACTTCAGCCCTCCCACACAGTCAATAAGTATAGTATTTTTTTAGTTCTCTTGACCTAATACGGGAAAATGATGTAATACTGAGCAGAATGATAACGAGTAAATATTTAGAGCGTTTTTCATTGACTTCAGATGTCAATAATAATGGCCGTTTTTATACTAGAGGACGCATCACGAACAACCCTTCGTAATGCGTCTTGAACGACGCACTAGGAGAGATAGTTCGACTAGACGCATAATACGTCTTGTGCCCGTCTTTATACTAGAGACGCATAACCAGACGAACTACAAATGTTTGCTCAAGTTCGTCCAGATGATGATGCGTCTTTAGTATAAAAACGGCCATTTTGAGTAAAACAAAAACTATCTTTTTATTGAGTTTTTGAGACGAGCAAAGGGGATTCTATGTAAGATTCATTTCAGTAGTGAACAATGAATAAATATGGACAGGTTTTACGAATTAATCGGTGCACCTTCGCACTCTCCTTTCAGTAAATCAGGCGAGGGAATCGGTTTGATGAGTGAACCAAGGAGTCAAGGGGTTGATAAGACTGTCCAACCTGCCCTATACGGGGGTGAGGTGGCAAGGGAAGAGTACATGTTTCTCTCCTGACCTCTCATACAGAAAGTGGTTCCATGACCAAGTGATGTCTCTTCCTCAATTGGTGGATGGTACATTACTTACAAATAGGTGAATTTCTCAGCCCTTTTGTCGCAATCTTTTTATTTACGAGCTCGCGGGAAAAATGTCGTTTTTGCATACGGTCCGCGTCAATGGCCGTTTTTATGCTAGAGACGTTAATGTCGTCTCGGACGTTAAAGCTGTGTCGAGACGACTTGAACGTCTAGTATAAAATCGGAAAATAAGGAAGACGCTTTTAAAGGAACTCAGTCACGGTTTGCGCATATTGAAAAGTTTAGCCTCGATGTTTCAAATTCGTCGTTTGTAATCCGTGTTAATCTTCTCCATCCTTAGCCATCCTTGTTCATTTATGGTTTATCATTATCTCTTTGGTGTTTTTCTATCTTGTTAAACTGTTATTTTCAGGTTTCCTACCATTCAAAGCTAATTTTGTATGTGGCCAAAATATCTCAAAATGCCGTGACTGAGCCCCTTTAACTTCTGTCTACTTTAACGTCTTCTCTTAAGAGCGTCTAAACGACGCTCTTATCAGTCGCCTTTAAAGTTTGATACGTTAACCTGTCAAGTATAAAAACGTGACGCCCTCAACTGGCTGCCATGTATCAGCTAGTAGATTTGTTCGTATATTTGCGCGCTAAAAGTTGCTTGTTTCCAGTGTCCCGGGTATAGAACCCAGTCTTTTTTTTATAAAAGAAATATATTTTTTGTTAGGCCATGTGCTTAAATACGTCTCGTTTTAATACTAGACGCCTTTAACGGCCTAGACGGTAAAGGTGTCTAGACAACTTAAACGTCTCTAGCATAAAAACGGCCAATAAAACAAGGGCGCGGAAATAAGACTGACGGCAGGTTAATAGCAAGAGATAGTCTCTTGGTTAATAGGGGTATGTGTTAGGGGATGGGGTATTCAGTTGACGCCGAGAAAACGCTTGCTAAATATGAATTTGTATTTTACCTTCGAATTTCGCAATAGATCAATCTCGATATATTAAAATTCAGCCTAACACAATAGACCTCAGCAAGAGGCCCTGGGGAATAAACCCCACAAACTCTGTAGTTATTACCCAGAGCCTCGTACTGAGGTCTATTGTTTTAGGCTGAACTGTTATTGGTCTATTAACTCAGTCTGTTCAGTACACCGATCGGTCTAAGAACTCGTTCAACTAAAATACAGTATGTAATGCCAGCGATCAATTCCAAAAAAATGCATGCAAAAAAATTTAAAACTGTCGTGGCTCATGATAACGTTCTCCACAATACTAAGAATTTATAAAGCATGTGCAAAGCCACTGTTCACCTCATTAAACCTTTTTTGGGTGACGTTCTCGTTGCCTTCATGGTTTGCTTAAGATCCCTATTATTCTAGACAGACAGCTGTTTCCTTGTTTTGAAATTTCTCGAGGTCGCTCAATTCTAGAATGTCAACTAATCATGACTACTGTTGGAACTTTCTAACATTCAGTTTTTCTCTGCCAAGACACTTGTCAATTATTTTCAACAGTTTTCACCGAGAGATAAATCATCTCCTGAAACTAGAATCCACTCAAGTTAACCGTAACTTAGTGAAAAAACAAACACATTTATTATTAACAACCGGACGCCATTATTACCTGGATTAGTGCGGTCCCTAGAAACAAGAACAAACTGGTGCAGGGATTTAAATTAAATTCCCGTGTAGATAACTCCGTTCAGAAAATTACTTTTTCGTCGAAATCTATAGTTTTCTGGTTTCGTAGATGTAGGTAATGACATTCTAGCAAACGTCAATCCCAATTTAGTTTGTCATTTTATCTGCAAAAATTGCAGTTTGGGAATATTTATTACACCTGCTACAGCGAAGGAAGTTTTAAATATAAGCTGACTTTCTATTGGTCGATTGTCGATGTAAGCCAATCAGGAAGGTCCTTATATTGCAAATAACATGTTCTCGTTAGTTTTTCTACTCGTAAAATGCATACAGTGATTGACCTAATGGCGGAGAAGAAGGGCGACGAAATTCGAAAGAGAAACAAGGAAATACCGTCATGGGCACCGGGAGGACCAGATTACGATCCAAACCTTCCTTATGGGCCGAAAGTTTATGTAGCAAGACGAAAGAAGCCCGACCCGTGGTGGGTGACAGCTATAGAGGTAACAATGAGTTCTGTATCTAACAAACGCGCATGTTTTTAAAAAGAGAATTCGAGCGTTAAGTACGTTGTTTATTTCCTTTTCCTCCGGATGCACCACTTCTTTTCGTATTGTTAAAGTAAGCTTGTAAGACAAGTAAATGCTTTGTACCATACTCTGTTTACAAAGGTTATGGTGGTCATAATTGTTTACCTGACCTGAAGTCTTAAGCTTATGAAAAAGGATGTATCATAAAAGATTCTCTATGATCTATTTTGCAATGGATCGAGTAGTCATTTATGAGCCTAAGGACACAAGTAATAATTAGGCCCAGGTTAAACGTCGAACTTCACATGAGACGAACTAAACTGACCGAATTAAGTCCATGATAAGTTCGACGTTTGACTCAACTGAGTTCGTCCGACTGAATTTAGATCGACCAACCCGTAGAAGGAGACGGGTAGAACGTGTTGGCGGATCTAAATTTAAATAGATGGCTGGCAACAGTTTCCAGCACTTTTCTAATGCTGTCACGAAAACTCAGACCCCAAAAACTCAGACCTTAGACCTCAGAACCCGAGAATTCAGACCCCGAAACCTCAGATCCCCAAAACCCAGACCCCGGAGCCTCAGACCCCCAAAACTCAGACCCCCCAAAACTGAAAAAAACATTTAAACTCGTCTCAATTATGTTTTATGGTCATGCAATGTCCATAGGCAACAGCCAGAATGGAGAGAGATATTTATTTTCTCATCTTCTCCGGTTTATCGCTGTCCCGTTGATTAAAAAGTGAAAAACTAAAAACCTGCAAAACTAAAAACCGCAAAAACTCAGACCCCGAAACCTCTGATCCCGAAACCTCTGATCCCAAAAACTCAGACCACAAAAACTCAGACCCTGAAACCTCAGACCCGAAAACTCAGACCCCTTGAAATTGGAAAAAAAAAAAAAAAAGATTTAAACCTGCCTCGATTCTTATCATCTGAAATGTTTTAAGGTCATGCAATGTTCATAGGCAACGTCCAGAATGGAGTGAGATATTTATTTCTCTGGTTCATCGCTGTTGTGTCATTCAAACAGTGAAAAACCAACAAGGTTTAAAATAGTAGCCGATACTTTGATGACATTTGTTACGGAATTTTTTACCGAGGAAATAGAAAGACAGATTCGCCATAATGCTATTCAAATTAAAGTCAGTTTTCTATTCCATAGTGCTTGAGAACTCAGACCCTTCGATTTACTTGTCATTCTCGTCAAGCAATTATCTGTGTTATATATGTCAGCTCGGTTTTGACAGTAATAACAACCTAGTCTGCTGGCAACCACAAATTTTGATATGAAGGATCCGAAGTTTCCGAGGAAAACGGAAACATAAGAATGCTGGAGCAAATGATTTTGGAGAGCTGCATTATTACACTTCGTTACATTAGTAATAGTGGATGTTGTTTTAAATAAATAATTAAATAAATGCATATATCAAAATGTCTTCTACACTATTATTTCTCATGGGCAACGATGTGTGATTACACTTCTCATGTGGAGTGATTTTGTTACAAACCATATTTACATTTTGCATACATGTCAAAGATGATTGTGTGACTATGTTGTCTCTTCACTAACAAACACGGGGAATCCGTCCTGTCTAGCACTATGTAAGCTATATATTTTAGTTTAGCTTCGGCAGTACTCCAAATCTTAGTGAATATTGAATTTATTATTATTATTAAAACCAACCTCATCTGCAGGGCCCTCTCCTTGACGATTTAAAACAACAAATCTACAATTGTGTGGTGATTGCATGACGAGAATGACCGGTCAGAGTTTTCGAGCGCTGTGGATACAAAACTGACTTCAATTTTAATAACATTATTAGCGATTCTGTCTTTCTACAATACTGCTCAGAACCAAGCGAACATAAAACGTGTGTTCTGAACAAACCCCTAACTCGTGAAATGGCCCACGCATTTTTGCCAACGCGATAGGGCCACGTGTTATTGCCAACATGTTAGCCTTTGTTATTCATAACCAATATTCCTTTTGGGTTTAGGGTTAGGGTAGGGTAAATCACCAAAGAATTAAAGTTAAAGCTTATTAAATGGTGATCAGTTCCATTCAGTTCAAGCAATAAAAGCAGCCCATTGAATGAAAATTATGACGTCCACTGCGGTGTTTACACCACCTGTAAGGCCGATAATTTTACATTTACAAGAGATATTTGATGCCTTGATATTTCCTTTTTCCAGCAGAGTCAAACAAAAGAAAACTTGACTGGAAACTAGCCATTCTCGAGTAATCAGTTCACATGAGGTTAATACCGCAAAACATCCCTGATGTTGTTGAACATGAGGGCAGAGCTTCAGGCTATTAAATGCCTCAATAAAAACAAATGGCTCCTTTAGAAGCCACCAATGTTATAAAAGTCTTGACCATCAGGTTGAGATCGCTTTTTTTTAAGTTTGTGCCCTTATCTAACCTGCTCAGAGAAAATATAAAAACGCAATAATTTTTTACCCGAAAATTATGTAAGTAACCACTGGAAAAAAAGTTCCTTCAAACAGCGAAATGATTTTTCAGAGAAAGCAATATCATTGTTGCATTGCTTTCAATTATGCGCCAAGTTCTTACTTCATATTCTCATCTTAAGGACAGTGCTTACTTTTGTTAGTGCACATACTTTCTGTACATCACCCAAGGTACGGTTTAAGCACCATGTGGGCGCTGGGGTTGACATTGATGCAACTTAAACCAGGAACACTAAAAAAGAAGCATATTGCTAACCACTAACTCTTAACATCTTCTGGCTGAAAAACTAGCTGTTATCTGTCGAAAATTATACTGAAATCCAACTGTAAACATGTACCTGCAGATGGTGTAGTGCAGGCGCAAAACAAGTGCAAAATATGCAAATGTTTTACTTACTGGGGAGGTGACAGAAAAACATGTAATGGGCACCATAAAAGTTTTCAAAAAAGATCAATAACTTTAAAAAACGTGTGGTTACCTCTACATTTTATGTTATAAAATGGAAGTGGCAAGTGTATTCAACATGTGATTAGTTTCTGGTGTGAGCAAAAGGTATTTAGACTGTATTTTGGCTGAACCAGAGGAGGGCTGTCAGAGACGCTAAAAGTGCTGTTGCAACAATTTTGTTGTTAAAAACATCCCAAAAATCGTTTTTATGTTACTGCTTACCATGCAGTTTTAAGATCTTAATAAATGTGCTTGCTTTTCTGTTTGTGAAGGCGAATTCGAAGGAAATCTGTGAAGAAATATCCTTTCCTTCTTTTTTCAGAAAATACTGATGTCAGCATTTTTGTTGAGATTCAAGGCTAATTATCTTGAAAAAATGTGTGGCTACCCCAATTTTTCTTTGTGGATTCCAAAAGCCCTTGCAAAGGTCTATGTTTTCCATGTGGTCCTTACCTGGCACAAAAACCTTAAAGTTTGTATTTAGTAGACACTGTCCTTAAAATAACTTGTTTATGCAACATTTTGCGGCCTAATTAGCTATTGTTTTCTTCAAGAGTCGCAAAAACGTTTTGATCATATCGCTTGAATGCCTCAAGGGTCCTCAAGTTTGGACTGAAGGGCTTTTTTGTTCTGAAAGGATCAAATATCTTATTTGCGATGGAATGAATGAACACAAATCTAACGATTCTATAGTTTGTGCGAATATCATGGATCTTGATAATGGCTGGAACAATAGAAGAAGCTAAGAGAATTCATCCACTATAAATCCAAGACATTATTTCGCTTGGCATGTAAACCAATATGGAGTACTCTTAGCGGGGTTCAGCTGTAATTTGTGTGGACTTTAGTGAGACTCCAGACTCAGAAAACAAGTGTCGAGACATTGAGATTTTATAGTATGCCCAAGCTTGAAAATTTCGTCAAATACAAAGCCGAAATAGTACTTTAAATCGCTTGACATTTTGAAACAAAGATCTACGATTCTAAGAAGAATAGAATTACTTTTTGTGCTAATATTCTATAATAAATTAATTTCAGACTGCTGGGTATTTAGGTTTTTGAAAACACTTCCCAGCTACCAGGTGTCTAGACATGATAACGATCTTTTAAGATCTTAAAAGAAATAAAAAATTCCTGATGTTGTCTGTTGTTTTTTTCACAGTGCTGTTTGAAAGCTCGCTATCTCTATGTGTTGATTTTTCGAAATGCAAATAATTTTATTCATAAGTTGGACGAATGCAAACAGACAAAAAAAAAAAGGTCTGTAACTAACTGCCGCTATGTTCAGCCAGTACAGAAGAATTACATGTAGAACTTGCCTGCCCGTTGAAAACACATCATATTCATACTGAATGTTATCTCTAGAAAAGGTCGTTAACCTCCTTTCACACAGTAACAAAGGAAGCGAACGATAACCAAGCTCATGCATACTAATGTATTTACTTTAACGTGTTATAACGTGAAGTCCAAATGCAGTCTAACACAGCAAAACGCATGCGCGCATTTAACCCTTCGCGTTAAGAACACGCATTCGATGTTCGCTTAGTTCTGAGCAGTACTGTATTTCTTTGGTAAAAAATTTGCCAGCATATGTCATCAAAGTGTAGGCTGCTATTTTAAACCTTGTTAGTTTTTCACTGTTGGATCGACACAACAGCGATAAACTGGAGAAGGTTATGTACTTATTGACTGAGTAAGGTTGGGCTGGACAGGAAAATATTTGACCAAATTTCAATGTAATTTGAGAAGTAGCACTGAAGTTTTTTGAATTAGCAGTTGCTGCTTTTATCTTTCTGACTGAATTTATGAATCAGTGAGAGATACCTTTAGTACTTTATTCCTTTTTTTAATAAGAAAACATAACAGAAACTGATTGAATAAAAGACACACTTATTTATTCTTGGGTCCCTATACCATATTACTGTGCAGTGTAATAAAATTAATTACCTGCCAAAAGATTAGATTGTTCTCCTGGAATTTCAAACAATACTAACTGTGGGACCACCACTGCTTTTCTTCTGGACCCTCAACCTTAGGTTGAAGGAGTCCAAGGACTCCCAAAGGAAACATTGGAGGGAAAACTGTGTTGTGAACCCACTCTAAAGAGTATTTTTAAACTTTGTAAAACAGTGCATCTTATCATGCTTATTACAATCCGATATTAAAAAAATGGGGGTCACGGAGCTCAGTTTTGAGTTATAAGTGTTTAAAGCTGAAATTCAGGGTGTTTTTGACAGGTTGTATTGTTGCTATGGTAATCTATTGTGCCACGAAATTGATACCAACATGTTAACCAATGATAGTGCAGTTGTTTGATACCATGATTGTGGCATCAACCGATATAGCATGGTTATAATGACCCGTGCATCATGTCTAGGAAAGTGTTGGAAATTGTTTTGAGCCACCTTAAGTTTGACATTTGACTTAACTGTCGAGCTTTACTGATTTGGATTGACTCAATTTGCAATTTAGTTTGTCTCGTGAAGTTCAACATTTGACCTGGGCCTTAATGAGCATTGTTTTCTGTAGGTTTCAGTGGTTGTTGGTGTGCTGCTGTTCTTCCTTTACATGTATTATTACATGGATCACCTTCATTTCCATGTCCTAAATGCCTACGCAAATGTGGGAGTCTCACATGCCCAGCATCATGTTGCACACAAATACCTAAATGGTGAGAAAACATTTAATCTTTGGTTATCTTTTTTTTTTTTTTTCTCAAGGGTGGGGGAGAGTTGTTGACATAACTTTTGAAATACTTATTTTTTGTTATATGTAGGGGCGTGGGGGTGGGGACATGTGGTCAGAAAGTCCTGCTTCCCGTACCGTACTCTACTGCTTCCTGTACCTGTATTGACTACCCTCTCGCCCTTTTCTTTCCTGCTCTAGTTCTCGTCATTTAGCTGTGCAATTCTTAGGTTGAAGTTTACAAGCATGTTTTCAGCCCTAGTGTTGATGTACTCAGAGGTCTCATAAGACCTGAAATGCAACTCAGTATCACTTTGGGTTCTTGTTTTTGAAAGTATGAATTCCAATGCATTAATAAAAGGTTACACTTTTCTTTCTGTCCTGCTTCCCTTCATCTAAGAACTCCAGCCTGTTTCCCACTTTCTCCTCTCCTGTCTCCTGTATCCCTCCCACTCCCTATTCTTTGGGCTCCCCCACTGTCCCCCACTTTAATGCTAGGACTTGAAATTAACTTTTTTATTATATTATATAAGGAGCAAACTGGAGGCCAATCCCAAAATTTTGGTCGCCAGATTGTAATTTTTTTGGTTGTCATTTTTTTCATTGATGTTTTGCTCTAGTGTACACAATCTTCAACATAATTCTAAGTTTACATACAAGGGAACTTTATATAGGATAGTAAAATTTTAAAGAAAGAATACATAAAAACAACATAATTTATGAAATAATAATCAATATGAAAGCAGCTTCAGTTGCATTTTCCATGTTTGTTCTTCTTCCTCATCTAGTTCCATGTCTCTGAAATTTTCAGTCCTAAGCTAAGGCTTTGTGTGTTCAACGGACGTATTGTAATTAGTCCCCTGCTCTGCCACATTGTTGGTAGCTGTACCAGGCTCTGTGCACGTGTTGTTTAGTGCACCTGCAATACCTCTAAATAAAGAAGCTGCTGAATCAAACATGGCGATCAAGGCGATGATTGAAGAATCTCGGCTTAGTGTTGTTACATCTGTTCACATAAATTGCATCTTTCATCCACAAGTAAGGTTGATTTTCCTTTGAGGTTAAAAGGTTGATGGAAGAAAAGGTGAGTCGCCCACTGGCGACCAGTCCTTAATGTCTGGTTGCCAACGCTTGATGTTTGGTCGAATTGGCAACCAGTGAGTCACATTTTTGAGTCCTGAATGATGAAGCTATATTTGATGTTCTCTTGCAGACTAGAACTTTGCATGTAAAAGCATGTTGAAAAACAGATATGTAAATCGAAAATACATAGAGGGTAATAAAAGTAAAGGTCGAGATTTGTACAGTGTGTTTACTTTAAATGATGTAACATTGGGCAGATGTTGTGAAAACATGAATCACAATTTAGAAATTTGAGTTGACAAAAAAAGGTGAATCAAGAAAACAAACATGTGTCAAGAACTAGAGAACTGAGGGATCATGTGTACTAAAGGCATCCGCGGTTGAGTGTTCATTGATAACCGCAATCCACACCCTCGATCAACATCCTGAGCAGTACTTGATCGACACTCTATCAACACCTCGGTTGACACTTGATTGACACTTGATCGACATCTCAGTCGACAGTCTACTATTGACCAACTGTGGAGTGTTTATCGAGTGTTGACCTAGTATCGATTGGGATGTCGATCAAGATGTTGAGTAATGGTATCGATCGCAGATGCCTTCAGTACACATGATCCAACTGGAGAATACAAAGTGCCCCTACTCAATGTGAATCTTCACTCATCATTTTGTGTGATATTTTTCTTAAGGACATGGAGTAAAGAAAGATGAAAAAATGGCTTTTTACTGGTTCAGGTTAGTCTTCAATAACAAATCTACAGGACATGATTTCTTTGTGTATATAGAAGTGCAAATATGTCATCAGAGGTGAATATGTGTATGCTTAACCTCCTTTAGAGCTTCCACTGCAGTTTGAGTTTTGATCCATTTTCCCCCTCATTTTAAAGGGCATACAGCAGTATGTAACATTTGAAATAGTCAAGTGAATCGTGGACTTCCAGTGTGTCTGCGCATGCTCTGAAAATCGGGTCCAGCCAGAGGTTGTGACTCTTGATGCTGACCAAGAGGAGTGTGGCCTCTGGGGACGAGAATGCTTGACTGCATGATCTGGAAAATATAGATGTAGAAGTGTTGGTGGAGCTAAATTGAAGTGTTCTTGATATGTAACTTGTTTTTTTGACAGTGAGCTCTGAATGTTACTTATTTCTTCCTGATTTCCATCTGTAGGACAACACAAGCATTTAGTCCTTGGCCTGGCATGAATTTCTTTAAATTTTAATATCTTCCAATTTCTTAGTAGCTCACTAAAAGTTCAAAAGCCGCCTATAACGTGTCTTCCGTACAAACTATGTGCCATGCAATATAAGACTGTAGCAGTTGACGTCTATGTTAAGGTATCAGTATACCCCAAATGACCATCATTTGTTGGGGCCACTTTACAGTTGGACATTAGACACAAACCCCAGTAAAGTATATATTTTCTGAAAGCTTAAGAATTGTAGATTACGATTGCTTGTCTGGTTTGTTTTTGACCTGGGTTAAGCTTTGAGAGTTGATAAAACATGCATTCTCTTCACTAAAATAGTCATAACTTTTGAAAAGAGCAAAAAATAAAAATTCCCCAACATGTTTTTTTGGGCCTGATTATCAGGCAACATTCTCCACATTTCAGCAAAAAATGTTGAAAACTGGCCGGAAACAAACTCAAAATATGCGCTTCACTAGCTTATACGAAGGAAAATGTGATACTTCTGGGCAAATTTCTTCTGGTGTAATGAGGTAATTACACAAAACGTATCAATGTACCAATGTATCCTTTGCAATATCTGAATTCCATTGCTCTTGTGCCCAGGTTAGCAAGAAAATAATTTTTGCTTCTGTTTCTTCCTTTCGATTTTTAAAACGCTTTAGCTTAGAGATGCTGTAGACAACGCAAGAGTGCACTCAGAAACAATGGAAAGGAAACCCCATGAGATAGCGAGATAGTGATTGAGTTGAGATGTTACCTTTACCGTTACCGCTTTAAATGGCGAAAGTCCCGAGGAAGTAATGCTTAGAGAATGTCAAATGTCTTTCTTGTCGAGTGCAAGTGACTTCTCCTGTTTGAAGCAGGAACCTTTGTCACTAGCAGCTAATGCATCAGTCCAATTTGGATCAAATGTTTACCCAGCCAGCTTTTTTCTCTGTGGTGCTTTCTTCACTCTTGCAAATGGACACAAACTTTTGTTTCTTTGACGACATATTTAATTGAACTATATCAATAGTCTACAAACGGAGAACACTCAGAGCAGCTTGTTGACTACCAAACACAAACGTTTGATAATCATACTTCGTGGCAATAGGTCATGCAACTTTTTAATGCAAGTTTATTTCTCTTGACAACCCATTGACAGGTATAAATTAAAGGTTTTTGGCTTATAATTTTGCTTGGAGTCAATCTTTTTTCATAAAATTTTTTTAAACGAGAGATTGCAACAAGATCTACTGAAAGAGAGGAAAACAAATTGAATTTTTTTTGAAAAATGGTCAATTTTGGGGTATACTGATACCTTAAGCGTGGATGTTATAATGTTAGTGAGATTATGACTAGTTTTCCGCAAAATATCTAGTCTTTCATTAGCAGGGCACAGTGATGAGCACGTGAAGCACTATAGGTTTTCATTCACAATTTTTTTTGTGTTTTGTCCTTTATGATCAGTACATTAACTAGATTATCTGCCACATCCTGTTGAATGAAAGCTCACCTCATTTTGGACTTTGTTGTTATGTAATTGGTCTGTTCAACAGACCACCAGCAAACCATAAGTACAATTATAGGAAAAGAATGTGGTTTGGATGTGAGCAGCTGTTTCTTTGGGGGAAGCGTTGCGTGACATCCCAAAAAACAGCTGTGGAGGAGACTATCTTTTTGTTCTTCAATTTTTGTCTCCAGGGAAGCAACAAAGAATGGACATGGGCATGGTGCTTACAATCTGGTTGCTGGACATTTACAGGGTTATGACACAGATGTTGAGGAACAGTAAGATATTCTATCAGTTTTACTGAATAAGAATTCATTTTAAAGATGGCTGCCTGGGGTTGGTACATTTTGCTGACCCCTAGTCCATGGACTACCCCAATGGACCTGGTCCATGGACTACTTGAATGGACTACCCATGGACTACCCTAAATG